CGCCATATGTACGTAATGACGTCACAAACATGACGTAAATTTCAGTTTTTTATGAATTTTCCAGAAAAATATACATATTTCGTATATTTTTTGAGTAAAAGTCACCGAGCGCATGTCTGTTCAGGATCAATATTTTGATATAATGTGTAGAATGATAATATCAATGAAATATGTCAATATTGTTCCTGAACAAACTTGCACTCTATAAATTTTAAAGCTAAAATTGTTGAAATTTTGACCTCTTTCTGAAAAAGGCTATAAAATCTGACTAGTTTGTGACGTCATAAAAACAAAAATTGTGAATGCACTGCTTCGACACCATAATATTTTCTGTTAATTTATATTTCTCATACAATTTATTGAATTCAGCACATTTCAGGAAGTTTTCAAAATTTGACTTTTGTGGGGGCAAATATATGCAATATACCGCATATAGTTCTTTAACGTCTGACTTTGAATTGATTGTGTTTAAGGGCGAAACGATTACACGTGTAAACGGCGACGTTTCGATTATATGCTCTAAACGTTTACAGTTTGAGTAAACGTTTACACGAAGGTCATTATCAATGTCTATCAGAAATAAAGTTTAACACAAACAAATTGTTTTATTTCATAATTTACAAAAGAAACATCGTCTTTGACCATTTGATAAGCAACAATCTAAACTGGAAACATATTGAATGAAAATAACTAAAACCCGATACGGGCTAACATAATTAATTCCGATTTCCGAGTTGCTAATACTAGCGATGTTTTACGACACTTGAAATATAAAACTTGATATATTTTGATTAAATAAATATATAACATTTTTCACAAGTCTTTGAAAAGTTTCAATACAGTCAGCAGGTCTTGTTTTACTTTTTTTCGAGATTAAAAGATCCATCTTTACAATTATTTTTTCTACGTCCGGTAGCCAAACAAACCAAGCAGTTGGGTGACGAGGTCGAAAGTGAATGAGTTTAATGCGCCTCAAATTCTTACGGTTAAGTCACAATGACCAACAATAAATTTTTAATAACAACTCATACTTATATTAAAGTGAAAGAATTGACTATTAAATTCGAGTTTCATGAGTAAGTAGCCATAAAAATCCAATATAGAATATCTCCCGTTTAAACGGTACCGTTTCGTTTACTGCTATCCGTTTAAACGTTTACAAAATTTAGTAAACGTTTCACCCTTAATTGTGTTGCATCAAGCCTAGATATATACGTAACATTGGATTTTTATCGGTAGTGTAAAACAAATTAAATTCCTTATTTTTTTTTAAATCAGAATAAAAAACACATTTTTTTTTACATTGTACAAAACACAATATTTACCTTTATCAAATGTACAAATAGTTTTTTTTTTTTTACACTGTTACTAGTATATACATGTAGTTAAGTGACAATTGTACCATTATATAGGACTGACGGTAAATTTAGATTTTGAAGAATCACATTTTTTTAGGTCAAGTATACTTAAAGTAGTTATGACTGATGGATACTATGTATAAACCAGTATATTTAATTGAATTTTAGCATCTTAAATCATTGTCATGCAGACAAGTAACATCTTTTTTTTTGGGGGGGGGGGGGGTAAAATACGTTTATTCTATTTTGAATTGAGAGATTTTCCACATTTCAATATAATTTCCACTTGAAATAAAATTAAGGGAAATCGTTTCTGAAAGAAGTGTTCAATAATTGATAAGCAACAAATTACAATGCCTGAAGGTTGCATCCCAACCACCCCTTAAATTTAGTTCAGAGAAGTACCATAAAAAATACATGTAGGCACTGCCTAAGGGTTTGTTTTTGTGGAGGTGGGTTTGCTGATTATACCGGAAAAGAAAATTAATAAAAATCTACTGACTGGGATCAATCCTTACGACCTTACTACATGAACAGTGATATTCATTTTTACCCCCATTGCGAGCAATCGTAGTTACTCGGTCAATTTCGTCAACAAGAAATAATTTCTCTTGGAAAATGGCCGTGTTGTAACGAATGCCTTGCGAGATGATTTCACAGTATGGTCAGCGGTCTATCCCAGGTCAAGGATCCTTTCAAATACTAATTTCCAGTGATTAAAGCATGATTATGTAGATGATGTAGAAAAAAGGGTGAGATGATGTCGTTGAATATACTCCTTGAAAATTTACTACTTAATACTATATTATTTTAATATGTATATTACATGTACATTTAGATGATATTTTCTTCAACAACCTTTAAATTATCACTATTTTACAATGTATACGATCATAAAAATGCTAATATTTGGAGAAATATGTATCTAAAAATCTCTAAAATACATCTATAGAAAAAATAATTTCTAACTAATACAAAAGGGGGTGATTTAGTAATCATGTTGCATGCTCCAAGTTTCAATGACGTTATGTGACGTTATTCAACATTTTACAGCATTATCCTGTTAGCATTGCATTATTTTCATTTGGAGTTTTAATTAGAATTTAAAAGGCATATAATAAAGTATTTGGTATCAAAATATTCAGAAAGACTAGCTCTGTCAGAAACGGCGAAAAACCGATTTTCGAAAATTTGGTCACGAAGGTCCCTTTTGCTTGACGCAACTCATATGAAGGAAGTCTAACCCCCTCTCCCCACCCGAAATTGAATTTCGAGTTTGAACACCCCCCCCCTTATTTTGGGGGGTTTACAAGTTTTTTTTAAGGTAAATTGATTTTTTTTTCTGGCTGATTCCCCCTCCTTTTCAAACAATGTTATGTCAATATGTTGATGGGGACAAGCGATTTGTTTTTTAATTCCGAGATATCGAGAAAGTTGTATGTTTTAAAATAATAACTAGGAAAAAATGTTTTGCCTAAATATTTTAAGCGAAAGAATGTAAAATTAGAGCGGTAAATTATTACTTAATTGTATCGCCTCATACAAAAACCATAGATGTTCGTTGGACGTAATATTTCATTGTTGGTTAATACAATCGCATCGAAATGTGAAAACTCCAGGCGGAAGATGAACAGATGACCTTTCATGGCCCTAGAACCTTTATTTTTCCTGCTTGCTTATCAAGGAATATTTAATAGTTGAAAGTGCCCGAACAGAAAAAAAATGGCTAACACCCCCCCCCCCCCCCCCCCCCAATACAGCCTGCTTTTATTGCGTAAAAATATATTCAATCATTTCAGCTTCAAATAGATTTCGTCAAAATTGTAATGGAACTGTAATTTGGCACAGAAAAATCAAGTACCGTTTAGTGTGCATAGATAAAGAAAAGAGAAGAGAACAATGCAATATTAACCATCTCTTTGATTCAATTATACATTTATACATAAATCATTTTTTTTATCATAACAGCGGTCCTTGCAAGAAATATACAAATTTTGTGTTCAAGTGAAACAGGCTACAGGTGCCTCAATTCAAAAAAAAGTTAATATGTAGAAATATTTGTGACCGATTTTAATTGCGATTTACTTTAAAAGTAAGAAGTTAAAGAAAGTTTTCATTTTAGGAACAGTATATACCCCAGTCATAGGACAATCCTTTTTCATTATCATTTGCCTTTTTGATATATTTCTACTCCATAACTAAGGCAGGTGGAGAAAATGAATTGTATAAACAATGGAAACTTAGTACGTACTTTAAACATTTTAACAAAGTATTTTTAAAAAGTCAAATAAAAAAATCCACTTGCATGGAAGTAGCGAACAATTTTTTTTTAATTCATGAAATTTTATAAACGTGGAATATACGTTTTTAAAAACATTTAACATACATTTATCTTGGCATATCTGAATTTATTTCTGATTTGAATTTTTGGGTGATAGAGAAAATACATTTTGCTTTTATCCTGTCGTAACAGATATAGGGAATACAGTTACGTGCATGTATGTTGATGAGTGAATGATGATTTTACTAAAAAAAGATCGGGATCGATGTGCATTTTTGAGAGGGGATGTCCCGTCGCGCGGTGTCCTTCTGAGAGAGATCTCTCTCTCTCTCTCCATTTCTTCTAATGTTTAAATGTTACAAGTGCTTTATATATTTCATGATTTGAACCAGATTATTTTATTAAAAAGTTGTATAGATTTAAACAAGTATCATTTTATACCAACCAAATACATTATATACTGTTCCTTGATTTTATCTAGACCCACACCCCCTTCACGAAATCACTACTTGTAGAACTGCTCTAAAATAGTTTGAAAATAGGAATAACATTCGAAATCCCTTAGGAATCTTTCAAGATTATCATACTGAACCCATGCAGTTATATTTGTAATCAGTGAGCAGTTTATGTGCTCCCCACAGTTAACTTTCCTTGAATCCTAATTAGATAAAAGGATTTTTAATACTTCTTGATATTTCAAATCCATTTTATGATGATGCCTTAGCAAGGGCGTGGTAAGCAACCTTGAACAGAATTGTATACTAATCATGAGCACTTGCAGATGGATGTTATTCTTCGCTATTTTTTGACAAATTTTTTATTGTTTTAAAAATTTTTATTTTAATTTTTAAGATTTTTTCCTTCTAAATTGAACTTTTTCTTGGCAAATGGGAACTTATTAATATTCAGACAGTAGAACTGTATACCTGTCTTCCGATCTAGCTATAGTTCAGAGTTAAACATGGAAAGGTGACTCTGATTAACGCTGAATCAGCACAAAGTATGGACAAAAGACTTCAAAATTGTAACTGAAATGTCATGAAAATTGATGTACCTGTATGCCCATTTTGCTAGACATGTACCTGTACTTATATCCTCTTTTTTGCCCATTATATCGGTATTATCCTAATTTTAAGTTGTAGAGGCTATAGTTTAGTTCTGACAGGAATTTGTTTCCTGAAATTATTGTGATGATTTATATCCTAACTGTCAACAAAGCTGTGGGCAGAACATTATACAAATCATAATAATACATTTATCTTAGGGATGCTAAGCAGATTTTTATGTATGATATATATTGTTGGCATGCTTTAATACATAAAACAACAGAAACTTATTTATTTCTTTTTTTCTTCCGGTAGAATCGTGCCAAGAGAAATTTTTCCGTGGAGGAAGGTGACCATGTGAGCTTACTCAATGTGTTCCGTGCATTTATCAAGGTAGGGATGCAACGTCAAGGAAGGAAACTGCAGAATACTGACAGGTGTACTTCTGTATGCACTCAAAATACATATGCCAAGCACTTGTTTAATATCTGTCTGCCTGTCTGATGTCTTTCATAAGTTTCCATATTATTATTGAGAGACCTTTATGCAAAACTCATAATTAAACATTTGAATATTTTTTAAGTTGTTAATTTGGTGTGCAATTCCATTAATTATACTACTTGAAGAGTTTCATATCCAGAATAGAATAATAAAAAAACTTCTCTGCTGAAGTTCAGTGTAGGAGTGTGGCACTTTTTCAACAATTAGACTACATTAGATTGACTGTGAATATTATATTCTATTAATAAGAAGATTTGTTCAAAAAGAACATATGGATTAAAAAAAATCTTTCATTAAAAAGAGCCGAAGATGTAAAGATTGACTTTGTTGTATTGCCATGGATTCATCTGTTTCCTTTCAATAGTACAAAAAGAATTCCAAGTGGTGTAAAGAAAATTTCCTGAACTACAAGGGCCTGTGCAGAGCCATTGAAATACAACAGCAACTTCAACGACTCTTAAAAAAGTTCAAGGTGCCCTTGCTGTCATGTCAAGGTTAGTCTGTTGTAGAGCTGGCTATGTAATGCTATGCTATGGCAGCATTAGCTGAGAAAGTAATGCACCACATTACATTACAATTTTCTTTGGCATTACACTGTACTAGCATTACTTGGAGTTCAAGTAATGCATTCCAATGCATTACCATTACATTGAGCATTAACCCAAGCTTGCTGGGTATACTGGTATCTTGTTGTCAATATTGTATGTTTCAGGAATCACTGTCTGATTTGTTGGGTATCCCAGCTAGGGCATCAACAGCAGTTAGCAATGCACCGTTCTGATTTTGCCCATTAGGCAACTATCGTTAATGTCCATGGCATACCCCAAAAACTAGGTAGTGATTCTATTTATTTGCATATATAAAAATGAAAATATAAAATTCCAATGCAATTGTTTTGTAAAACAAGTTCTGACTGGCTAATGGACTGATGTTTGAAGCAGTTACACGAGCATTAACGAGAGAGAAAGCTTTTCATTGTGACGTCATAATAGAGCGACGTAAAAATACAATACCCCTTGACGCATTTCATGTAACAAAACAAGACGTAAACTACAAACAAAATGCATAGATTGCATTAGAATGGGAATAACGATCTTCTAATTTGGTATATGTGACCGTTAATGCTGATTTAACATTCGTTTTACCGGCTCCGCTTACACATCACCGGTAAAACTCATTTATTTACTAAAATCAGCATTAACGGACACAAATACCAAATTAGAAGATAGTTATTCTTTAAATAAAATACGAGTATGATCTTTAAAATATGAAATGCAAGGGACCTTCTGTTTCCTCATCAACTGACCTCTAGACACAATGAGGGAAGTGAGAAATTGTTCATATTGGGCACCTAGCATTTTACTTGGTAAAATACATTCAGTTGTAAATACATATAACTCTAGAAGAGTTATCACAGAGATAACAGTTGGAAATGTTAATTTTATGATAAAGATAACATCAAGATAAACTGTGGTTCTTAAGAAATAAAGAAGAAAATGAAATAATAAAGTTAAACAAAATAAATAGCACTGTAATGTTAACCCAAATAAGTTTTCAACATATTTTCTGGCATATTTACATGTATAGACAACCATTAAATAAACTATTTTTATGCCCCTAGATCAAAAGATCCCAGGGGTATATTGTTTTTCTCCTGTTTGTCTGTCTGTCTGTTGTCAACTTTTAACTCATGCCTCCAAATTGAAAAATGGTAAATTGTTTTTTCCTGTTCGTCTTTCTGTTGTCCACTTTAAACTAGCCCATAAGTATTGCACTGTCAAGGATAAGTATACCACTGCAGTCTACGTCCCAAACCAGAATTGTGTTGCCATCGGGGGCACAGTATGTCACAAAGACATCTTGTTTTGGAATAGACTTTATTCTAGTGCATGAGAACTTAAATCCGGAACTAATGAATACATTAACTGATAAAAGGAATGGGAAAAATTTATGGAATTTCCACAAAATAGAGGTGCAAAATGGGTCAGAATCAATGGATTTTACTATCATGATAAACAAACACATTTTATATGTGATTGTTTATGGTTTGTGGGCTAGCAAGCAGAGATTTTGCCTGGAAGACAAATGTTCTAACTATAAAAAAAATCTCAAAGGACTTCAAAAAATTCATTAATTAATTGCAAGTAAAGTTGTTGCATGATCTTATTGAAATATTTTTGATACTTGTATTTACTCAATTTAATAAACAAATATAAATTGTATTTGATATTTCCTGGTACAGTTATTAAAACCTTTTACCCCCATAACCAAAAAAAAAAAAAAAATAAAGATTTATAGATTTTTTTTCATTCTTGTTTGATCGGATAAAATATTGTGCATGTATTTCTATTTCATTCTTCTTTTTTATGTAAATTTACAAAGGAGTAAATTTGTTCCCTGTTTATTATTTGTTTTATTATTGTCATCAGTTGCAATGTAACTTTGTCATGCCATACTGATTTTGAACAGAGTATTACTGAATGTTAATTATATCCCTAATCATGGCATTGTTGTTCTTGAGAAGGCATTGTTCTTGAGAAGAAGATTTTTTGAAGATTTTTAATATTTATACTAATGTAAAAATTTGTTCCCACATAGTGGCCCCATTTTTCACCATGGGTCATAAATGTAACAAGTTAAATCTATACACTATGTCAGGAAGCTTTGTTATAAGTTTCATCTTTTCTGGCCTTGTTGTTCTTGAGAAGAGGATTTTTAAATGATCCCACCCAATTTGTACTATTTTCTGAATAATATCCCTTGGAAGAGGGTTTGACCCTTTATTTGAACTAATCTGGACACTCTATGCCAACTCTTGCGAGAGCGGAAGATTGATCCAAAAAGCTCCCTTGCATAAGCCATCAGCTCAGGTGAGCTAAAAAGGTCATTAAAGAAAGTGTTATTTTCACTAGAATCGCCTTGATATTAAGGCATTTCTTATTCTGTTAATACTATTTTGTTCACATAATGTGAGAAAGCTTCTTATTTTGTTCTAGATAATTCCATTTTTTGTACTCTTAAGAATGTAATATATTGTTGTTTAGGTTTTATGAATCATTGTTATGAACTCTTTTCTGTTCATTGTACTAGGATTGTAAATAATTCATCATAATCAGAGCTGTAATCAAGAATAGAGCTGATGGGGTTCTCTAATTAATCAGCTGAATCAAAATTGCACTTTATCATGAAAATATATATTGATGTTACTTTTTTCAAACAAAGGGTAATTGGTTGTCAAAAATATGTGTACTTGCTAGTGTCAGAAATGAGAAATAAATAGGGGTATTCATTCATTATTTTAGTAGTACAAAGTTTGCAAGAAAAGTTTGGCGAATTTTCAATTCGTTATTATATAAAAAGATTATACTCATAATTTGTTTCATAATGAAGGAATTAGAGAATTCCCATGATGTAGGACATCTGTTCTAAAGGCACCTCCTGCTTCAAGTTTATTTCTTTTTTTTTCACCTACCTAACACTAATATATTTTGTTAAATTTTGTTTTATAGGGATTTAGGGTATATAGATAGTTGGTGCTGACTGTAATTTGCACAAACAACAGAAACTATGATGTGAAGTCACAAACTACCTTATACCCCAGTTAATATGTATCAACATAATAAAAAATCATTCTTTAATAACACATTTGTGTATCAGAAGAGAGTGAATTTTTGCAGCAACATTAATTGTGCGTTCAATAAAAAAATATGACAGCTAGACCAGTGCAGTAAAAAAAATTTTGTCCACAAGCATTAAATGAACCACTTGAAAAATGTAATGAATTCGCAGACAGTTGGCCAAACAAAAATATTGTGTGTTGAAAAACAAAAAAAACAAAAACAAATAGCATTTAATATGTAGATGTCAGATTCATCCCAGGATCCATGTGAACATGCAAGCTTATAAGTGTAACTCAATTTCCTAACAACATTTTCCTGAACAACAAGCTCTATAGGGAAAATGTGTTGAAAATATGTTATATGTTTATTAAAATGTACTGAACTAGATTTAGTTTCGAAACACTGTCTATGCTACTTTGAATGCAAACAGTATGGAATTTTGCATTGAGTATTTTATCAAATTACAGTGAATTGTTTTGTTGAATAGTTAAAGAATGATATACTAGCTTTAAAAAAATTATTATTTTGAAAGCATCTGTTCTAAAGAGAGACAGACAGACAGACTTATCTAGCTGTTAATTAAATGAAGAATGGTTTTTTTTTTTTTTTTTGTTATTTTCCATTCCTGGACAGTATAGAAACACATACGTCACTGTGGGATTTTAAGTAAATACCATGTCATTTCATCCTACAAAATACATACAGAGTGTAAAAGACTTGAAATATAAACAACATTTGCTTTTCAATGGCTCCAAATATGTTTAGATATTTTTGAAAATAACTTCAAGACAGCTTGATTATCATTTAACTTTGAAATACTGTAAGCAAAAAATTTTAATTCTTTGATAATATGTTTATTTATTTATTCACCAATCAAGGGCCCTCTGGGGGCATATACAATTAAGAGACAAACAATTTAATCATTATTATAACAATGCAAAATTGACATGATCCTCACTTTCTCAAGTTCTCAGATTTGAAATTCTGATATACAGGGTAGTTCACAATGAAATATTAGCATTACATTTAATATAATAATAATAATAAAATATGAAGAAAAAAATTAATAAATAATAATAATAATAAAATACCAAGCTCCTTTATACTGCAATGACCAGGTGGATAATAGCAAACAAGTACTTGTAATCAAATTGTTATTAATAATAATCATATTATTACACAAAGTTTATATATTTTGTTGGCCTGGTAGCATAAGGTACCAAGGTGCGATGCCTATTGAGCAGTCTGGAAAAAATGAAAAACCAGGTTGCTCGGTCTTGTACCTCAAGCAACCAAGACAGCTTGTAGGAGGAAAACTTAATTTGTTGGCCTGACTACTTGGGGCACCAAAGGACGGTGCCTATATTGAACAGTATGACAATACAGACTGTCAGTCTCTATACTGTTTTGTACAGTTTATGAGAATAAAGTCTTGTCTTGTACCCCAAGTAGCCAGGACAGCTTCGGGATGTAGAGGATCCTAGTATATAACTTGAAATGTAATGCATATATTTAAGATACACTTCTTCAGAAATCAGATTCCATTGTTCTGAATCATTTTACAAATTTGAGTAAGAAATTCAACATTTTCATTTGTCATTAACCATATTAGTTTTTGGTCATTGTCCATCTTATCAAAATTCTTACAATATTTTTCTATCATCTTATACAAAATAGCCCTTTCTTCCTTTACATGACTACATATGAATAAAAAATGTTTTTTATCATCAACTAAATTGTTGTTACATCTCTGACAAAACCTTTCGTGTCGAGGAATGTTTTGATATCACCCCCTTTCAATTTGGAGTCTATGGGCTGATATTTGAAAGCGAATTAAATTTCTTCTATGTTCAAAGTTTTTAATTGCAGATCTT